AAAGCCTCTGTGTGTATAGGTTTTTTTTGTTTTTTTTAAATATTGTTTGATAATGTGGCCACCTCTGTGTTTGGCTAGGAGCACCAAATGCTAAAACCTGACACAATTTGAAGGTATGTATTGTTCTAGAGCAGGGGTTCTCAACGTTAGTCCTCAGGACCCCCTACCAGTCCAGGGTTTGGGGATTACCTGGTGTGTCTCAGGTGTTTAGAAAAAGGGAAAAAAAACACCTTAGGCTCTAAGGTGTTTTTTTTTCTTTTTCTAAACACCTTAGACACACCCAGGTAATCCCTAAACCCTGGACTGGTAGGGGGTCCTGAGGACTAACGTTGAGAACCCCTGTTCTAGAGTGCATTTTTGAGATGCTTAGCTCTTTCTCACGATTTCAGCATTTGTTCACTAATTCTCGATTACCCACATGGCTTCTAGCCATATATAAGATCCTGCAAGTCCATTCTCTAATTGTTGCTTTTTGACTTGATGCCTGCAGACCTTTTATCCTTAAGACCTGAGTGTCATACTGTGTTAACGCTTGATGAACTTAAAAACCCAAATAAAACACATTAACAACAAAAAAAAAAAAACAAGTTCAATCTGACCAAAGAGGACTAAAGATAGATGCCCCCATAGGCCCATGGGTCAAGGCTAAGTAAAGAAATGCACTGAAAAAAAAGTAATATAAAGTAAAAAATAAGATATAATGCATGCAGTTTCTTATTTAAAATCAATAATAAAAATGATGACTATTTTCCTTTAAGTATAGCAAAAGATTCCAAAAAGCTTACCTGACTAGTGGAAGTAATATTGATTACATGTTTATGGTTATCCATTCTCATTAATTTATTCCACATCTTTATTGAATGTAGAATTGTCCGTGCAACTTCATCAGGAAAACAAGGGGGAATGGATTTATTAATTTGGGCACCTTAGTATATAATTATTAGATTTTGAAAAATAAAAAAAATAATATATATATACATATAAAAACATAAAGTTATATAACTTTGTTTTGTGTTGAGGTGAAAGAGGGCGAAGAATTCTACAAAATAGTATGCTTGCAGTCTGTAATAGCTACTTTATTAAATACTAATAGCAAAGGTGATAGATTATTACAAAATTTATTGTGACATTTTATTATAAACCAATCATAGTAAGCAAAGGCATTAACCAGGGCTATAAAGTAAAAAAAATAATAGCTGCTTATTATTTTAGAAATGAAACTACGTCTATTTCCTAACAACGCAAAATTGTGTTAAGAATTATGAAAAAATACTAAATCTCAGCCTGTTCTAATTGCTATTATTATTATTATTATTGGTATTTATATAGCGCCAGCATATTCTGTAGCACTTTACAATATTATCAAAGGGGGGATTTAACAATAAATGAGACAATTACAAAAACCTACAGGAACAATAGGTTGAAGAGGGCCCTGCTCAAACGAGCTTAGAGTCTATAGGAGGTGGACATAAAATCCAACAGGACAGGAGGTAGCAATCAAACAAGGTTTAGTGAAGCAGAGCTGGAGGAGAGAATAGAGTGCTGCCCTTTAGGAGAGAGCAAGGGACAGGTATGTGAGGTAGAGGTTTTAAAGGCACTTTTTAAATGATTGAAGACTAGGGGAGAGCTTCATGGTCGTAGGCAGGCTTTTCCAAAAGAAAGGAGCCACCCGCGAGAAGTCCTTCAAGCGTGAGTTGGCCGTACGGGTGCGAGCAGGGGACAGGAGAAGGTCATGGGCAGAGCGGAGAGACCGAGAAGGGGCATACCTATGGATCTGTGAAGAGATATAGGAGGGGCTAGACTTGGTCAGTGCTTTATAGGTATGGGTTAGCACTTTGAATTGATTCCTATAGGATACAGGAAGCCAATGTAAGGACTGACAGAGGGGAGAGGTGTGAGAGGAGCGACTAGAGAGGAAAATCAGTCTGGCGGCAGCATGTATTACAGACTATAACAGGGCAAAACGGCTTTTGGGAAGACCTATAAGGAGAGCGTGACAATAATCCATGCAAGAGATTACTAGAGCATGGACTAGCTCCTTAGTAGCATCTTGTGTAAGGAAGGGGCGGATGTGGGCTATGTTTTTAAGGTGAAATCTACAGGATTTGGTAACTGGATGTGAGGCTCAAATGTGAGGGCAGAATCAAGTATAACACCAAGACAGCGCGCTTGCAAGAATGGACTGATGTGGGTAACACTTAAATGAAGGGAGAGCGAAAGAGGGGGAACAGTATCAGCAGGAGGAAAGACAAAGAGTTCAGTTTTAGAGAGATTGAGTTTCAAAAAGCGGGAGGACATGCAGTCATAGATGGAATAAAGGCAAGCAGTGACACGTAGCAGGACGGCAGGAGAGAGATCCGGGGAGAAGAGGTATATCTGAATGTCATCAGCGTACAGGTGGTATTGGAATCCAAATGAGGTAATAAGTTTGCCAAGAGAGGCAGTATAAAGAGAAAACAGAAGGGGACCAAGTACAGAGCCTTGGAGGACTCCAACAGAGACAGAACGAAGGGAGGATCAACTTACCATTTATATATATTTTCATGATATATATCTTTCATGTAAGTCCTTTAGATCCTGAAGCATTAAAGATAATGCAAACCTTTAACTACATCTTTTAAGTGATACTAGAGATGGTCCTGAACTATTAGCAGGTTCAAATGCTCAGCAGAACACTTTGCATCGGCTTACAGACTAGTGCACACATATTTAAAACAGTTTATGTCTCTTTATTGCATCATCTAGCTGTGAATTTCAGCATGTAGGGAATAGGTAATAAATACATAAACAAATAAATAGGCAACATAAAACTCTTGGGTAATAGTCCAATTAGTGCAGGGACGAAAATCTAGTTAATTATTTTAAGACAATATTCAATTATTGAAAAAAAAATGTCTTTCATAAAACAAACTCGCCAGTTTAAAACAAATGAGAATAGACTTGTGCATTCTTTTTCAAATGAATTACAGTTCGTCCAAAAATAGGTGACTTGTCCGAATTCCATAACTCTGAATCGCCATTTGACCAAATCACAAAACAAATGAAACATACAATTGATGAACAGTTTTGTCTGTTTCCTAATTCGAAATTCCGTCGGATGCGCCCCAAAAATAAGCCGATTGATGGAAAAGAAGATGGTTATATGAAATGTTGGTTTTATTCACAGATAAAATGAGTGGTACTGGTACTGGTACTGGTGACCAACAGAGGGAAAAAGAAGGAGCAGAAAAAAATATATATGTACAGTAAGGGAAAAAGTATTTGATACCCTGCTGATTTTGCTCATTTGTCCACTGACAAAGAAATGATCAGTCTATAAGTTTAATGGTAGGTGTATTTACACGGTGAGAGACAGAATAACAAAAGAATTATCCGGAAAAACACATGTCAAAAATGTTATAAATTAATTTGCCTGTCAATGAGTGAAAGAAGTATTTGATCCCCTATAAATCAGCAAGATTTCTGGCTTCCAAGTGTCTTTTATACAGGTATCGAGCTGAGATTAGGAGCACTCTCTTTAAGGGAGTGCTCCTAATCTGCGCTTGTTACCTGTATAAAAGACACCTGTCCACAGAAGCAATCAATCAATCAGATTTCAAACTCTCCACTATGGCCAAGACCAAAGAGCTGTCCAAGGATGTCAGGGACAAGATTGTAGACCTACACAAGGCTGTAATGGGCTACAAGACCATCACCAAGCAGCTTGGTGAGAAGTTGATGCGATTATTCACAAATGGAAGAAACACAAAATAACTATCAGTCACCCTCGGTCTGGTGCTCCATGCAAGATCTCACCTCGTGGAGTTTCAATGATCATGGGAACGGTGAGGAATCTGCCCAGAATTACACTGGAGGATCTTGTTAATGATCTCAAAGCAGCTGGGACCATAGTCACCAAGAAAACAATTGGTAACACACTAGGCCGTGAAGGACTGAAATCCTGCAGCGCCGGCAAGGTCATCCTGCTCAAGAAAGCACATGTACAGGCCCATCTGAAGTTTGCCACTGAACATCTGAATGATTCAGAGGAGAACTGGGTGAAAGTGTTGGTGTCAGATGA